GAGAATGATTAAAACAGAGTCCGGGTGTTGTTGTTCTGTGTCTGTGATCAGATCAGCGAGTTTCTGTAAAGCGGAGCTCACGTGCGCTTGCGGAGGAATGTAAACACTGACGAGAATGAATGAGCAAAACTCCCGCGGTGAGTAGGAAGGCTTACAGTTAATGAAGAGCACTTCTAGATCTGAACAGCACATCTTCTTTAACACAGTTACATCTGTACACCACCTCTGATGCTTTGATGTAAAAGCATGTCCCGCCGCCGCGTGATTTCCCTGTTGATTCTCAAGTTCGTCCGTTTTGTTGGGTAGAGAGTGGAGGTTCGCCAGATGTATGCTAGGCAATGGCGCCCTGAATCCACGCTGCCTGACCTTCACAATCGCGCCGGCTCGCTTCCCCCGTCTGCGTGTCCTGAAGTGTCTGAACAGCGCCGCTGCTCCCCCGACTACAATGTCCAGCAAAACATCAGAATAATCGAAAACCGGTGATATACCGGGTGGTGTGTACTGCCGAATGTCCAGCAATTCATCTCTGGTGAAACTGATTGCAGGGAAATAACTAAAGACAGGACAAGCTAACAAAAACATAAAAACAACTGCGGAGCACGCCACGGAGGCAGCCATCATCGTCGGTGCCATCTCGCTACAATGTCAGACTTGAAATGAAACAAGAACTGTTTTGTGTAGTTAGTGTTGTAAAACTTAAATCAGAAGCATTACTAACTATTTATTACAAAAATGTGAATGTTTTTGGAGTTACAACTCTTCAATGTATTATATAATAATAATAATAAACTTTATTTTATAAAGAGTCTTTTAAAGTAGCTTCTCAAAGTGCTCTACACCAGTGTTTCCCAACCGGGGTGCCGTCTGTCGAGAGCAGGGGTGCCATGTAAAAAATAGTTTTTTTATTTATTTTTAAATTGCTAAAATGTTCATAAAAGTAGCTATTATATAATATCCATTTCTGATATCGCCAATAATTAGAGATGCACTGAAATTCCGGCTGCCCGAAAATTAGTTCACTGCTCAGGATTCGCTTTCACGTGGTGTGACGCTCTGCGTATTATGCCGCTCTATGCGTGTGCGCTCCGCTCAGTCGCTTAAACTTTGTTTAATTACCATTATAACTTGCTATTTCACAATGTTTACATATGAATAAAAGCCTACATTAAAATCTGTCATATAAATTGGTCTTTTCATTAGAAATGAGCCTACTGATTGCCACCATTGATGGACACATTTTTTTAATAATATTAAAAATATCTGTATGACAGTATATTCTGCAGTTCTTCCCTGCTGTACCGAATATTTATACTTTTCAAAGTATCATATCGAAGTTAGAAATTCAAATATTGTGACAAAATTAATTTTGTAGGGTGCCACAAATTTGTTAAAATTTCCAAAGGGTGCCACGACTAAAGGTTGGGAAACACTGCTCTACACAATATAAAAAATGCAATTAATAAAATTAAAGACAATAAAAGTAAATGAAAAAATAAGCATCAACAAGCAAATGCAATTTAAAAAAAAATATGTATTAAGTTGAACTTTAAAAATGTCATAGGTCTGAACTTCCCTAAGTTCAAGAGGCAGAGAATTTCAAAGGGTGGGAGCATAGGAAGAGAATGCACTGTCACCCATAGATCTCAAGCGTGTTTGAGGAACCACCAGCAAGTTGTGAGGAGCGTAATCTGCGATTAGGAGTGTAAGGAATGTAACAGTTCTGTTAAATAAATCATAATTTTGAAATCAACTCTTAACCTGACTGGGAGCCAATGCAAGTATTCTAAAACTGGAGTAATATGGTTGCATATCCTGGACCCAGTTAAGATCCTGGCGACCGAATTTGGTACATATTGCAGTTTGTTTAGAGTGGATTTAGAAACTCCAGCTAAAAGACCGTTACAATAATCTATCCAAGAGACGACAAAGGAATTTATCAGCATTTCTGCTACAGTAAAATTTTGCAGAAGATTTGCTTGAGATGTTTTAACAGTACTCTGAACAAAAGAATCGATTGACAGATTAGCATAAAAATATAACTCCAAGGTTCCTCACTCTATTCTGGATTTCCAAAACGAGTCAACGAAAGTCAAAAACAGAGAACCAGCTTTAGAAATTTGATGACAGGAACCAATGAGCATAACTTTGATTTTACCACTGTTCAGACACAGGAAATTATAACTTATACATGTTTTTATCGCCATAATACAGTCAGAAAGAAAAGCAATGTCAGGGTGCTCATCAGGTTTTGAATGTATATAAATCTGTGTATCGTCAGCATACAAATTATAATGGAGGCCAAGCGATCTCAGGAGATGGCCAAGTGGTGATGGATAAATATAAAAAATTAAAGGGCCAAGACTGACCCCTGAGGAACACCAGTGAAAACAGAGCCAATCTCAGAACTAAACCTTTGAATTTTTTTTATAAAAAAAAATAAAAAAATTTTGTGCTAAAAGTCTTTAAAATGAATGTCACTTGTTTGACATTCTGATTTATGAGGCAAAGACAATATGTTTTCAAGTACAGTCAATTGTGTGTCCAAAAACTTTCAGGAATGGGTATGGGTGTGTAAAAAAACTGAAATCTGCATCTCACACTGCAGAAAATTTGCCATCGCTGTTGAGCATTTCACACATTTGACATTATGTTACCGCTGTTCTGAGCCTTTTCCGACCATGACAATGAC